CAAAAAATGTTAAAAAAAATTGCAGGCTTTGCGATTTGATGATCGCATCATTTCAAATTTCGATCTTAAATCAATTAATCGTTCAACTCTACTACTCTGCCTGTACAGGAAGGTAGGGGCTCTTATTGTGAAATCCACAGGAAGTGCAGTAGAGAACATAGGAGTTGTGGATGAGAGAGATTCAACATGTTCCTCTCCTCAGATCTGGCTCAGCACTACCTGATGAAGGCCAACATCACCGCCATCCGCCGTGTGAGGAAGACCGACAACAACCGCATCGCCAGGTAACTGCAGCCAATCAGCTGTCAGCATACATGACCTGCAGCCAATCGGCTGTCAGTCCGTACTGTGACAATGCCAGAGCATGTAGTGCCATGTGATGTACCGTGGTGATATAAACATGTTATCAGTTGGCGTGTTATTGACGTGTTCTCCTCTCTCAGGGCATGTGGCGCTCGTATCGCTAACCGCACTGACGAGCTGCGTGAAGAGGACATCGGAACCGGAGCCGGTCTGTTTGAGGTGAAGAAGATTGGAGACGAGTACTTCACCTTCGTCACAGAGTGCAAAGATCCTAAAGCCTGCACCATCCTGCTGAGAGGGGCCAGCAAGGAGATCCTGGCGGTGAGAACCCTTTAGAGAACCTGTTCTGTGATTAGAGACTGTATCTGATGAGGAACCCAGTGTGTGTCTGATGAGGAACCTGTGTCTTTAGGAGGTGGAGAGGAACCTGCAGGACGCCATGCAGGTGTGCCGTAACGTTCTGTTGGAACCCGCCCTGCTGCCTGGAGGCGGCGCGGTGGAGATGGCCGTCTCTAAGCGTCTGATGGAGCGCTCTCGCTCTCTCACAGGCGTGGACCAGTGGCCCTACAGAGCCGTGGCCCACGCCCTGGAGGTCATCCCTAGAACCCTCATCCAGAACTGTGGAGCCTCCACCATCCGGGTGCTCACCTCTCTCAGGGTAAACAACAGCTTCATTAACAGCGTGTGTGTGTGTACCGAAAATATTCGGTATGGGCCCTTTGGTTCGGTACCGAAGTGTACGAGCATCATTGAAGTCTCCGGTTTGGGAACATTTTGGTTTCGCAGTTACGTACAAGGATGACGGACAAAGACAGGTGGACCGAACCAAAGCTGTTTGTGGGCATTGTTCAACTAAAACTGGTTACGCGGCTGGCAATACATCAAACTTGCACTCTCATTTGAAAAGGCATCACCAGAACGTGGATATCACCGGTACCAAAAGAAAAAAGACTGAAGTGCAAACCCAACTCCCGCTAGCATTTAAGCCTCCACCACTCGCAACAAGTTCAGACCGAGCCAAAGCTATTACAAACACCAAATATCCTTATGTTGCCATGTTAGCAAAGCGCTACCTGGCTGTATCTGCTACCTCTGTCGTATGAACGTGTGGGTAGTGTGGGTACGCGTGTATAGTGTGGGTAGTGTATGAACGTGTGTGTAGTGTGTGTACGCATGGGTAGTGTGTGGGTATTTTGTGTACGCGTGTATAGTGTGGGTAGTGTGTGTACGCGTGGGTAGTGTGTGGGTAGTGTATAGTGTGGGTAGTGTATGAACGTGTGTACAGTGTATGAACGTGTGTATTAATGAGGTTGTGTTGTTGCAGGCGAAGCACACCCAGCCGGACAGTGTGAACTGGGGCGTGGACGGAGAGACCGGCTGCCTCTCTGATATGATGGAGCTGGGGATCTGGGAGCCACTGGCAGTCAAAGCTCAGGTCTACAAGACCGCTGTGGAGGTGAGGCTCTCTGTACATTAATATCACCTGGGTTATTATCACCTGTATGTCCAGCAGTGACTCACCTGTCTCTCTCTACCTGGCTCTCTGTCTGCAGACGGCCATCTTGCTGCTGCGTATCGATGACATCGTCTCCGGTCACAAGAAGAAGGACAAAGACGGTCAGACGGGAGGACAGGGAGCGGAGTAGATCATCATCTGTCACTGAGTGTGTGTGTGTGTGTGTGTGTGGGGGGGGACCAGATGACTCACTGAAACTAAAATAAACCGTCAATAAAAGTGAAAGTTAGAAACCTGTTTGTGAAGTTTGTTCTGATTATTGACAGATCAACGCTCCTCATTAACTGTAAGAAATAAACCCTTTTTCACATCACACCACCCGGCTGTTCTGTTTCAACTGTTATTTCATGCTATGGGAGAAAGTACCCCGAGTCTACTTCACTAAAGTATTAATACCTCTGAGATGTTACTGACCAGAACCCAATCCACAGGAAGTAGAGAGGCAGTCGGCTTTGATGCTTCGTCCCTCGGAGCTGCAGCTCTCTGTGGCTTCAGGATCAGTCGTCACCAATTAGAAAGTCGGAGGTTTTCCTGTCAAACACACCTTTAAATGAATAAAGCCATATAAGGTGTTGTATTGATCCCAATTGAGGCATAAGAGTAGAAATAAATAACTCTAAAATGTAAACGTCTCTGAAAAGAGTTATGCTGCAAAAAATAAATCCCAAATTGGGATCAATAAATCTAATCTCATTTAATACATGTTTAAATAGCAGTTTACAGTAAAACAGGTCAGAGTTATATAATCTCTGAAACCTGAATATTATCTTCACATGTATCTGCTTTAAGTTATTGTAAAGATCTGAGATCTATATTTATTTTAATATCGATCTGTTTATATCCATTTCATTGTTTTGTTGTTCATGTTGTCAACGTGTTTACTGTTAATAAAGTTTCTCCTCGGGAGTCAGCTGACTGATGACGCGGCGGTCATGTGATCCGCACGCTCGGTCACAACAAAGATGGCGGCGTTGAGGAGTTGTGGAGCGTTTTGTTTTTATTTACTTTTCCTGCTTTTAGTTTCGAGTGAAAGTCAAAGTGTTTTCAGAGGAGAGTCTTTCAGGAGGAAGGTGAGCACTGACTCTTCAACTGTATATCAATAACCCGTTAACACTCAGAGACAGGAAGTGAAACGGCGCAACAATAATTGAGTAAATGTCTTTAGAGAAGCTTCCTGTAACTTCAATCAGGAGCGTTTCATCGCGTTTCTGTTCATTCTACTTCATATTTTGTGTGAATCTACAAAATTAAACGTTTTGAGATTTTAGGAAATCTGACATTTTCAATCAACATTTTGGGATTTTCAGAACAAAGTCAACATTTTGGGATTTTCAGAATAAAGTCAACATTTTGGGATTTTCAGAATAAAGTCTACATTTTGGGATATTCAGAATAAAGTCTTCCTTTTCAGATTTTCAGAATAAAGTCTCTTCATTTTCAGAATAAAGTATACATTCAAAATGTACACTTTTTTATTTTCAGAATAAAGTCTTCATTTTCAGATTTTCAGAATAAAGTCTTCATTTTCAGATTTTCAGAATAAAGTCTTCATTTTCAGATTTTCAGACTAAAGTATACATTTTTTTAGATTTTCAGAATAAAGTCTTCATTTTCAGAATAAAGTCAACATTTTGGGATTTTCAGAATAAAGTCTAAAGTTTGGGACTTTCAGAATAAAGTCTAAATGTTGCGATTTTCAGAATAAAGTCAGAGTGAAATGTAAAGCCAGTTAAAGAGGTTCTTCTTCTCTCCTGCAGCTGTCGGTGGAGTTGAACCCCGGCCGGCCGGCTCCCCCGCCCCCTGGTGGCGACCTGCTGCATGTGAGAGCCGTGGGACTCAACGACACGCTGCACTTCCTGTTCTGCAGCCAGGGGGCGCCAACGCTGCTGCTCGTCCACACCAACTCTTCTTCTTCTACTGTGGAGGTCTATATACTTATATATACACTCTTTAACCCTCGGAGGGCTACAGACACTCTGAAGCTGCTTCTGATTGGTCGACAGCTCACAGGTGTTTTGATGTTTTTCAGGTCGACTGGCCTCAGTTTTTGATGCGAAATGTCAGCGGCAGCCTGAGGGTGGAGCCAGAGAGCAGCATCCTTCAGAGCAACGCCATCGTGTTCAGCAGGGTCAGTCCACCTTTAATCTGCTGTCAGTCCACCTTAAATCTGCTGTCAGTCCACCTTAAATCTGCTGTCAGTCCACCTTAAATCTACTTTCAGTCCACCTTAAATCTGCTGTCAGTCCACCTTAAATCTACTGTCAGTCCAACTTAAATCTGCTGTCAGTCAGTCCGTCTTGATATGATATGAT